CCATGCTGGAGCCGCAACACTGCGGTAGGACCAAAAAGAAGAAAAAAAACCAAATAGCTGCTGATTGTAAAAGCTTTAGTCTCTCAGACAAATATTGACATCAGGTACCGCCCTTTCCAGACACAGTTAAAGCGATTCACCCCCGAGGCCGCAGCACCATGGAGGGGCCGGGCAGAGCCCCGCAGGTGTAGCCTTTAACGAGCTTTACCCGCTGACTCCTGCGGCCCGTCGGTCATCTCCAGAGAGCAGCTGGTTTGTAGTGCTGGGTTTGGGTTTATGACCTGTTCCATGGCCCCATCCCTCCGAAGGGCCAGGCCTGCCGAGCGGTGGGGAGCTGCCTGGTCCTCTGCTGGAGGCAGACCTGCTCTTCGTTGGAGAAAGAAACGCCGGCTGCGGTGGGACACCGTAAAGTGACCGGTACCCAGGTGTGTGCTGCTGAGGCAGTTTCCTCTTCGTTGCTTGCAGGCCCTGTACGATCACTTAATGGATTTCCTGGCTGACCGAGGAGTGGACAACACCTTTGCTGATGAGTTAATAGAGCTCAGCACGGCGCTGGAGCACCAGGAGTACATTAAATTCCTTGAAGACCTTAAAAGCTTTGTCAAGTGTCAGTAGTTTAGGCAGCTTATCTTCAAGTGTGGGTATGCCACAGCTCTGCCCCAGCCAGCAATGCCCAAATATATCTTCACAAGGGATACAGAGAGCGAGTAACTTGGCGTTTGGAGAATGAGGATTCCCGCTGGTAATTTGGGGAATTGTATTTATGTTGCAGCCCAGATCAAGTTCACTGACGTTATGGTCCGGAATTGCCTCACCCTACTTGGTGGGTTTTGTACAATTAAGAATGAATGTGAAGAATAAAATGTGTTCAACATATCACTGAAAACTGGTGGTTTCTCCCTGCTGTACCATTGCTGACCAGAGAGCTGCTGTAAAAACCGTGCTGGTGGGTGTCTGTGCCCATGTTAGTACAGCTGCCAGCAGAGCTGCTTCCGCGGCCAGCGTGTGTGCTGGCCTGATGCTGTCTCCAGGGAGAGCTACTCCAGCACCTCCAGCCAGCAGCGGGCCTCTGGCCGAGCCGTGGCTGTGGGAGGAAGTTTGCTGGCCAAGCGTGCTAATTATGAAGTTATTCTAAAAGTCTTGGCTGGCTCTCTGTGTTAGGCAATAGAATTCAGGGTCTTAAACACTGTGTTTGAGGAGCCGTTTTAAGAAGGGATGTGCTGCCAGTACCTATGGCACTAGTATTAACGTAGCTGTTTTAGAAAACTACCGCAGAAAGGCTGGAGCACTTCAGTTCCGGCAGCAACTGGAGGCTGCAGGGCAGCAGCTGTGGGCTTCGGCTCAAAGCCCTGTCTCCGGCTGCTGCCTGAAGGTCACGTTAAGTTTAAACAGAAACCAAAGCTGAAGCCCAGTGTGAGCTGTGAGATGACTGATGCACTGTTAAAGACAACACTAAGGCTGAAATAAACTACGTCTATTTATTTCAAAACATGTACTGTGCCATTAAAAGTGCAGGACAAGGCAGTACTACTGCCTTTTGAAGTATCTCTTTGACAGCAATTACAAGTATGTACATAAAACCATTAGCAGCTCTGGAAGTCCTTCCAGTAAAAAAAGGCAGCAGCCAAATCAGCTTACAGGAGAATCGTCCAGGAGTCGCAGACCTTTACAAAAGGTTAAGTTGAACAGAGAACAAAATGAATCATTAATGTTCAAAACCCTGTGAAACGCGCTGCTCCCAACACTGTCCTCACAGTGATTTTATGTAAGCAGCAAAGCTAAGGACTTGGTAGCTCTAGCTTGCGCCAGAGGGATGGGATGTGTTTTCCAAGAGGTACGGGTGAGCCTTTTGAGGAGGCTTAAACTGAAGTAATTTTTAAAACTTTTTTTTCATGAACCACTTATCTGAACTGCTGCTCCACACACGACTTGGAAGGTGTTGGCTAAGGTGTGAGAACGGTAAGGCACTCAGTGGGACAGGTCCTTGCAAGACTCCCTAACCCCGACGTTAAGGTAAGCTGTGCAGTTCTGCTCTCCCTTTCACAGTTACTGGTGGTCAAAAGTAAGACCATTTCCAAGGAAGTTTGTTGACAAGCAGCAGCACAACCCCCAGGGATCCACGGACCTGTGGGTTCTGCCCGTGTAAACAAGAATGGACCCGGGCAGAGATCCTTCCCAGGAACCTGACACCGGGACTCACCGGACAGCTCATGAGAAGACTGGCTTCCTCCTCCATTCCGCTGGTCACTGTGAACTCCGGGCTGTGAAAGCACCGGTGACTGTGCTCTGTTACAGTGTTTTCTAGAAGCGACCGGAGCTTCCCTTCTGTCATACCCTGAGAAAAATTGGGTTAAAAGAAATCTCACACATTAACTTGCTGTGTGTAGCTTAAAACTGCCTCTCTGCAGCAGCAGCCGCCATAAGATGTCACATGTAACACGTCACAGCGCAGTTTACCTGCGTGCTGATGTATAATCCACATTGGCAAAAAACCACGTGATTCCTCACAGTCAGGTTATTCCTAGAAAAAGCACAAAGAGCATTGTCACAACCACCAGAACAATGGCAGATTTTAGCAAAAAAACTGTTAGATTGAGAAGAATGCTGCTCAAGTTTTTTTATTTTGTTGAAATTAACAGCAGCCTCCGCCCACTGCTTTTGCCTGTTTCTAAACCTGAGCTGAGTGGAGAACCTCCTCCCACTGCCAAGGCTTGCTTACTTTCTACACACTGGGCAGATGATCTTGTCACCGGCATCCAAGCCATCAAGCATCGCGTTGAGACATTCTTCATCGAACTGCAGGCTTCGCTCATACTCTTCTATAACCGACTGCTCTGCAACAGCACAGCAAAATACCCTCAGGCGCCCGTTGTGAACCGAAGGCGAAGCGGCACGCGTGAAGCCCCTGGGCGGATGGAGCCTGGGGCAGCCACGAGTTTCTGAACTTTTCTTTCTTTGGATCAGATTTCTACGCTTGAAGAAGTTATTCCTGTTAATCCAGCTTTTCCTATGTTCATCTTTAGCTGGTCTCAAGTGGGTGACTTTCTAACCAACAATATAGAAACACTCTGAACTGATTTATGCAGGTTCCTACAGCTCCCAAACACCTCAGTGCTGTTTCTCTGGTCTCCTATTAGCTTGTCACAGACCTTAAAATGCCACTCTAACTCCTAAAGCTGTCAAAAAGGGTCTAGTGCAGTAGAGAGGCTACAGCGGTTTCCCAGGAGGCTCTTCCCCTCTGTCACGTGGTCTGCAAGAAATGAGGAGCACAGCCTCGGCTAATTTGGATTACTAGGAAGCCAGGAATATTACAAACTAAATAGGAGTCAGAAAGCACGTAGAGGATTTACCTTGCAAGATCAATTCTTGCTGGATCTCTTCCAGTACTGCTAGCTCGTCAGGGTCCTCCAGCATCTGAAAGGTGCACCAGTCAGTGCTTCCCCCACGCTGGCTACCTTCTCACTTCACTTCCCGCACCTGACTGAGCTGCCACCGCAACGTAAATTCACTCTGACTGTTCTTCTACCTGGCAAAACCATGCGCTGTCGAAAGCGATCTGTACTATAATCACCTGTGCAAAGCCAGCCACGACGGATCAGAACACAGCCGGCCCAAGAACTTGCTTTTGGAAAGATGAGAGTTTTACTCCTGTTCTCAGGAAGCCCAGCTCTGAAACCCACGGAGGAGGAACCCACCCTCGGCCGTGACTCATGCGTGGTTTGGGAAGGGAGTAAGGCGAGCGCTGTCACAGCACAACACCCCACGCGCGCTGTGGAAGTGGGACACCCAGACCTCCCGGAGACCGGAGCGACGGCTGCAGAGCCGCACTGAGAACCCCCGCCTCGGG